TCGAGGCGCAGACTGAGAGCAATAGCTCCTGCTCCGCAGCGCGCAAACAAAACCACCTGTCGCAACGAGACATTGATGCCGGAACGATCGCACACTCACGTCCTACTCTGTGGCGAATGGCGTTGCGTTGACTTTGCCCTTGAAGGCAAGCGGTTATTCCAAGATGATGATGTAAATGATGTGACTAAAGGTAGTAGGTATGTTTTGCCTGGCAGCACGACGTAGATAGCTCATTTTGCAGGAACCCGCACCAAGTCCATGCAACGCCAGGGTGTATTTGCCCGAAAACATGTGCGTGGACCACATCCCAGTTGAGATTTCGTACCCTACCAATTTGATATTGGGCCGAATCCAAGCATGCGCATCTGAGTCGGCGCCATTCAGCATCTGCACACAGGCCTCTCCCGTCTCGCCTTGTACTGTGGCACATACACATCGGACCCAAAGCTTACAGACGTCGTCAATCGCCGGAACAATCTCTGCATGTTCGCCGCCGTTGCGGACCGCACCACGGCCAAGTACGACGTGTCTGCTCCATCGTTGTTGAAAAGGCTATGTATAAAGTAACGTTGGGGCAAAATGACAGCGCATTTCCGTGATCAGAAGCCGTTGCGACCAGCATCTTAGTTTCTTGGTGCATAGCCAGCGACAAACCAAGCTGCATGAGCGCAACATGGGTGAGCTCTGTGCAACGACAACCGTAGTACTGTGTCATAAAACGTGAACGAGGCAGATTCACGCAGAGTGATCGCATGGACCGGAACTGTGACAGTTTCACCGGCGTGTAACGGCCATTCGTTTCGTATATTTCGACATTGTGCGGTCACCAGAGCGCGCGTCGAATAGGTCACTACCTTCACGATGACACTCGAGCTGGGCATTTAAGCTATCGCCCAGGCGCCATACATGTGATCACGTCAATTGTCAGCGCTGGTATCCACGAGTTCGTCCCTTGAGACCCAAGATACCGCACAGCTTGCAAACACTGAGCCCACAGGCCACCACCAAGCTGGGAGGAGCCGCACGCTCGTCATACATACAACACCATCGCGTTGCGCGCGCCACGTCTCGGTGCTGGAATTTCCCACCCATCACGGACCGTCGATGACCCAAGAGTTGGACGTGAGTGTGCGATCGTTCCGGCATCAATGTCTCGTTGCGACAGGTGGTTTTGTTTGCGCGCTGCGGAGCAGGAGCTATTGCTCTCAGTCTGCGCCTCGATTCCTTCTTGCAGAAGACTGTAGTGCCTCTAGCCTTGCTGGCTATCCTCGGTATTCAAGCCGCCACATCTCTTGCTACTGCACACGACAGACGTTGTTGCAGTATACTTCAAGCAACCACTGTGGGACGACCAAGATTCCAAGCAGCGCGCGCCGGCTAGGCGTAGGACTCGAATGGGTCGCTGAATCTGCGGCCGTCCACCAGGTGGATATGGCTCGAGCTGCGTGGATCGACTTTCATTTTCCAATTTACCTCGTCCGCCTCAACGATGCAGCTCTCCAAGTGCCTCGCCGGTCTCGCGCTTGTCGCGTCGGCCGCCGCCAAGGTCTCGCAGGTCCACGTCGGTCTCTCGTCCGAAGCTGTCGGCTGCAAGGACGGCATCACCATC